AAGTAAAAAAGGTTTTATTTAAGAAAACGTTACTTTTTTAGTAAGGACTCTTTTCATTTGACGTTACACACCTTGGGCGGTCGGATATTTATGGTAGGTGCCTGTTGGAATCCAAGTCGCCGGTAGAATGTTGCATCTAAATGTTCTCATCAAAGATACAGATGACATTAATCGTCTCTACCATGTACGTTCTATTGAAATCCCGATACAACTAGTTGATGAAGAAGATATGTCACAGTTTGTGGAGGCATTACGGTATTATTTTTTTTATTTTTTGACCCAGAATTGCAAATGGTAGTTGACTAAATTATTTACTTTATTATATAGAATAACTTAATTGTCAACATTTCTTTGCCGATGAATGCACCAAAAACTAAATCAAAGCGCCAAAAAAAACAAAAGTTCTCAGATTGAGATGATAATTAATTATTAGCATGAGAATCTTGTACTATCACATGTATTTCTTTATCACTCAAGTGGTTTGAGATTTTCATACATTTGAAAAAAAAATTAATAAATCATTACTATCTATAATGGATTCTCCTATAATGGGAAAAGCTATTACCTTTGTTTATTATATTATTCATCTTTAATACTAAATTGATAGCACATTTATATAATAAATTCTTTTATTTATCAACAACAAAATATTGATATACTTATCATCAGCATCATTGTTATTACTACTACTACTGCCACCATTACAATCACCACCATTATCATCATCATCATTATTATTACTACCGCCACCATCACCCATCACCAACATTATTATTATCGTCGCCACCAGTGTTATCAATCAATTTCAATTATATTAACACTTGCTTCATCATCACTTTCTTCATCCAAATCACTATTCTCATCACCCACACCCTCATCACCCACACCCTCACCATCATCTTCTTCTTCATATGATGATAGTTCAGGGTTTTTTGTGAAATTTTTAACCTCAGTATTATAATCATAATTATAATTATTATCATTGTCATTGTCATCCTCAACAATCACAGCAACATCACTGTCAGAAAATCTATTATTATTATTATAACCACTACTGCCACTATCTTCTTCTTCTTCTTCACTGCAATTACCACCACCACCATCACCACTACCTTCTTCATTACCACTATTATGATAATACTGTGAATTATCAACATCATCATTAGATTCAAAACTTTGAAAAATACCACGATTTAATAGTACTTCCATTTGATTTTGAATATCTGATGATGTTTGAATGCTTTGCGTAGAAGCAAAGTTATTGTTCATAATTTGTGCAATTCCTGATAAGTCATCATATCCAACTTCGATTCTTTCTTCCATGTTTAAAAAGTTCATTATAGGATTTTGAGAAGGAGAATAATAATCATTATTGGTGTTTCTATCAACAATATCATAATAAATGGAGTTATTACTATTATCATTTATATTACTACTGTAATATTCATCACTAGCACTATTAATAGCATTATTACTGGAGTCAATACCGACATCATTATGACTGTTACTACCATCACTACTGACAGCATCAATATTCCCTCCATTATTATCATTTACAATGTTGGTTTCAACATTTTTCTTCTTGATAAATGATTCACTTTCTATTTTTGATATATCATCTAAAGCCATAAATGTTAAAATCAAATCTGATGAAATTGTGTTATTTGTGTTATTTGTTGACCCTAACATTGTATCATTCTTAGTCTGTGATGTAGTTATGTCATGATAATTTTCTTTTAAACATCCATCAATATCAATGGACAATAAAGAATTTTCGAACGTTTGCATTTCTTCAATATTTTTTACCGCATGTCTAAGCTCTCTGGAATATGGATTGGTGAATATTGTTGATCTTGAAATGGTCCGTGAATCAGTTGTTCTAAACTGGCTATTGGGAACAGTAAATTGCCGTCTTTTATAAGATTGTACAGGCTCAAGCTCATCAACAGACAAACCATGTTTGAGTTGATTACTTGACCTTGTATCTAAATCAACATCTTTGTGTGTTTTATTTTTCTCTGATGATTGATTGAGTTTCGCATGTGGGTTCCTGATTATACTACTGTAGCCAAATTGGTTGGGTTTAAAAAGTTTTATACGAGGGTTAATTCTTGAAAACCTTTTTTCTTTTCCATTAAAAGAGTCCTTACTAAAAAAGTAACGTTTTCTTAAATAAAACCTTTTTTACTTTACAAGTAGATTTTACTTGATATCAAAATCTTTAAATTACAAAAGCTTCGAAAGTTCGGTTTGGTATTGACGGAAACATTTAGCAAATAGTCCAAAAAAGCAAATTTCCAATCGGAATCTTTACATGTAATAAAGGACAAATTTCTTCATTGTAATGTATATTATTTCATTAATAAAATGTGCTCGACGTAACAGATTACATATATCTACAATATGGTGTTGGCATAAATTAGTTCGTGAAAAGGGTTTAAAAAAGTATCCGACCACCCCGTAATTTTATTATATAAAACAATTAATAAAGTCGACAAAATGCAAATTTTAAGGCTTTACGTTTTGTTGTCTATACTTGATCAAATTTGACCGTATATAATTCAAGATATTTTAAGTGGACTTACTTAATGACGTAATCCATGATTCAACGGGGTTTGAATGTTTTTACTAAGCTCAAAGTTTTCATAAAAATCTCGGAAATTTTTGTCTAATTTAAAGTTTTCATCCTAAATTCATTAATAATGCAAACTCGACGAGACTTTAAGTTTATATGCAAATTAACTTTTAAAAACATGTTTACTTAATGCACCAGACCCGGTTCGATTAATAAAATTTTGAACTGCATAAGGCATAATATTTCCGATTATTAAAATGATCATCGGGTGGTCGGATATTTATTATGATAGGGGAGTGTATATACCTTCACTCTGCATATTTACAAAGTTAGTTCTAAAGGCTGGATTCTTCCACACATCACCTCTATGAGAAAAAAGAGTTAGCACAAAAGTAATGGAGTAGTTTCTATGATAAGAATTACATACAAAGCTTTGAAGATCTCTTCTACAATTCCTACTAGATCTTCTTCCGACTCCTTCCAACTATTGTTATGTCTATACTTTAGTGATAAATCATTTAAATCATCATTGCTAAAGTTTTCCACAAACTCGGTACACTTGTTTCGGATTACATCTGGTATAACTAATTGCATATGCTGTGCTGGTCTCATGCTTGGATCTATGAGACCAAAGGAAGGTTTGAATATTATTATTATGTTTTATTATAGTTGATGCATTACAATAGCAAGATAATTACAAGTTGCAAAGTTTAATGCAAGCTTTCAACCTTCTGTAAATATATTTTTTTACAAATAAAAATATTCAATTCAAATGTGGAATATACCTTTTTTTTCAAGCTTGTCATTTAGAACTAAAGATGTTAGCCGAAATTACTTCACTTAGTAAATGATCATCACCGAATCTGAAATGCTGAAATAGTTTTTCATAGTTGCTGAAATTAACTTTATTAATTGCTGAAATTATACTCAAAATTATTTGAACACGTTAACTCAATAGCCAAAATTCAAAATAAGGCCAAGAAGTGGCTCAAGTCGTATATTAAGGAGATAAATGTGATAAATGGAATCGCTCCTAAAATAATATCTAATCGTGGGTATGCCTATAAACGTGCTTATAAAAATGCAATCAAGACCGCACAAGCTATATCATATCAGAAAATTGGTGACACATATGAAATATTTTATGGAGATTGGCTAAACTTTGAAGACTTTAAGGTAAGTTACCCTGTTTCGAGATTATGGGAAAGGTTTATAAAGTATGCCAGAGCATATACCAAAAATGATAATCTTTTGGTAAGTGATGAAATAAAAGAATCTATATACTCTAATTTTGAAAAACATCTAAATGCATTTATCCCAATTATTGAGAAATATGATGCTTTCTTCTATAAATTAGTGTATCATATGTGATATAAAGAACATATATCCATTCCAAATAAGATTGGTCCACCAGAGACTATGAGAAAAAAAGAGATTATTACTGAGCAACCTACCTTATCTGATATAATGAAAGCCGATCAAATGGCACTTGACAATTTTCTAAATATATGGAGTAAAGCAGTGAGCTCATTATAAATATCAACAATACTTATACATTATTAATAATATTTTTCGTACATAAATAATATCCAAGTTTAAATAGATAGCTTTATTATCTGATCCATGCATCATGCAACTGCTCATTTTTCCTTTCCAACCCCCATGTATGTAAGGTTTGTATTCATGGATACCATGAATACCATTAAGGGGGTTACACACTAATAAATCAGCAAAAAATCCCTTAAAAACACTTGATTTTAATAGTGTGTAACCCTGTGTGACTCCTTACGGTATCCGTGAATACAAACCCTACATGCACATCTCAATATAACAAACCACATAACTGCAATAATTAACAAGGTAAGAAAAATATAGGCCAATAGTGGTGACATCAAAGTGCTTGCCATAACAGGGAGAGGCAAAGCCTCGAGACTAGGTCTCATCACTTCTATCACTTCTATCCCTCCTATCAGAATTTGAGAATGTGATTCAATCAATGAGGATATGTTATTTTCTGGCTGTGTGAGGTAAGGAGTCATATTTGGTATTTCTTGGAGTATATTGTTGCTATTTTTGCTAATATTGATTTCGTCACTTACCTTGGGAATAATCTCAGTATCATTTTTTGGTAGTTCAGTAATCTCACCATTAGTATATGTTGAGATAGCGAAGCTAGTGTCAGTGGCAAAGCCATGAGTCTTCGACTCAAGACACATATTGCCATCGATTTTTCCTATTGGATCCATATTTTTTCCACATATAAAATATTTACTGAGATCAGTACTATCCAAAGATATATCATCAGACTTGGTTATATTTTTTTCGTCATCTCTGCCAATTATTGTAGGGCTCACAGAACCTATAGACCCCGATATATCCTCAGATTTCAGACGCTCCAATTCACTAATTTTTAAAGCTAATTCAACTATTTTAGACTTGAGAGACATGATTTCAGATCCTTTCTTTGATGAGTCCTTCTGAGATAAATCTAACTTACCTTTCAATAATTTCATTTCATTCTGAAGCGATTTAATCTCTTCTAATTTTGTAGCATACTTAGCCTTGGATTCTGCAAGAGAGATATCTTTGCGAGTGTTTTCAATCTGTAGACTTCTAGTCTCATTAATAAGTTCCAGATCATGAGTGCGTGATTTCTGGATCTCAGTATTAGCCCCTCCTAGTTTCTGACCCCACTTATTTCTCTCCCGATCCCACTGTTTTCTTTCCTGATCCCACTTCTTATTTTGTTTTAATTGGTCAACTCGCAATGTTTTATTACAAGCATTTAATTCAGGTATAATTTTTACACCATATTGCAATTCCTCCTCAATATTACATTTTTTGTCCATAATATTAATAAAATTTGCTCTATTAAAAAAAATAAATATCGAACATATTACACCTTTTTGGATATACATATATTTTAAGTATGATATATCATATAGAATATATTCATCTATTATAATGTATCAAATAGGATATGTATAATATAAGATATTGGGGTGACTTACATTATATGATTTTACAAACATAGTTGATCACATATATAAATTTTCATATATGACAATTTTTTGCCGATCTTTTTTTAATAGTAAACTTTGAATGATTATAACTCTTTAAAGAATAGAGATATTGACTCCGAGTTAAGTTTAAAACATACTAGAGAAATCAGAAAAATATGATCTTAGCAGTGTTGCAACAGTTCCAACAAAATCTATTGGCATTGCTCGTAATTTTCCAATAACATTCCCTCCAGGTTTTACTATACGTGAAGATTTTGTAGTTGTACATGTTCCTAAACCAACATTGATATTCCCAAACACACTTCTCAGAAATATAAATGCGCTATAGATTGGGGTAAAGATGAGTTGAAAATTCCTTTTAATGGAAAGGATCACATTATTCCGGTTACTATGCACAAGGTCAAGAATAAACTCGAAGTGAACTGTGCAACTGTAGCTCAAGATGATAAATCTTCAGTATCTGATCAAATTTCTCAAGAGGCAGAATGTGATGAGGATAAGAATGTACCATTAGAAAAATGGTGTGCTCCTGTGAACTTTAGCTTAGATTCTACAACATTAAAAAAAAATGCATGAATTGTGAGAGGTATGAAAAAGAAATGTATAATGCAACCAAAATTATCACCAATCTTAATGCTCTTATTTATTGTCACAAAGAACTACCCAGTAAAGAAAATAGAGGTTAGATAAATCGGTAAAGTCCAGCATCTATGACTCGTCAATTTTATATCCCGAATTTGATAAATTTTCCTTACCTTCTTCTACTGCATGTCTAATACAGGCTAGTGTATCCTCAGAATATAAGGGCTTTCCACCTGTTTTTTCTGTGGAGTCTTTGGCAATGACAGGTGGGTTGGATATTCGACTGGGCTTAGATCTCTTTATTTTTATTTGCTTATTTGGCTGTGCCACCTCAGCTGATACATTATCTAAAGATTGGGATTCTATATGTAGGACATTCATGGTAGAATTTGGTACATTAGTATTTCGATTAGAGTCGTCGTCATAGAAGTGAGGTATAGGCTGATCCCAAAGAACTCTATTAGATTCTTCTCCTCTCCAAATCTGATAAATACATTTTGTTGATGTTTTATACTTATCCATCAACTCATTTAAAATTTTATATCTTGGTTTTATATCATGACATTGCATAATATATGAATAATCTTCGGATGTGAACAGAGGTGCATCAGATCGTATACATACTCTAAGCATAGTTATAAATGTAAATACTATTTTTTTTTCTTTATGGGTACAAGATATTTATACACTCACTGGACAAAAATATATGAACATTTGTCAATCATCAAAAATAATCGAGTGACTTTGACGTAATAAAACTAAATATTTTATTAACCTAATTGATCCTATTTATTAAGTAGAAATCCTTTTTCAT